CTTATTATTCACTTGTATCTAAAAATTATATTTAATATTTACAATAAGTAATTATAAAATGTTAATATAGTTTTTGAAACATACGTTTTAAATATTTTTGTTATATGGTTTATAAAATAAAACACACACACACACATATATATATATATATATATATATATAGTCATAAACATATTTTTAAAAAATATGAAAAAGGTAACTTTCTGGTAACTAACTTAAGATTGTATTTTATATTTATGTTAGTTACCTATGGTCTATGAAGAAAAAAAAAATCATAAAATAAAATAAAATCTATCTAGATTTCTTATGATTATTTATATATTTTTAATCAATACATAAACATAAAAAGTAATAACGAACAGTATTATTATTATCATACGTTTACTAAAGATACTTTCTTATACCTAATAATAGTATATTATGAATATGAATTATGCATATGGCGTATAAAATATATAAACATAAACATAAGCATATATTAGTATATATATATAACTTCAATATATAGATTATATTCTATAAATAATAGCTACGTGTTATAACGTTATCGTAGTATCCTTAATTATAGTTAAGATAACAAACAAATCATAATTAACAAGAAACGTGTTAATTTTCCTGGATCTTAACGTAAATTATATTATAATTAGTCATTATGTGCGTTAATATTTTATTGTCCGTATAATAATATCACTGTTTTCATCTGATAATACAAGACTAAAATTATAACGATCTATGTTTAAAAATTGTCGATAACCGATCACTATTTTCAAACTTTCGTCGAATTACAGAGGATTTGACTATGAGAGAGCAAATAGACATAAATCTAGAGTAGAAAATTCACATTTTAGTTATTTATTTTTCATACCTAATCAGTAAGAAACCCAAGACTTTTGTTTAATATATTATATAAAGCACCTTTTACAATTAAACATTTAATTATTATCAATTGTCCAAAAAATGTTTTTAACAGATCACATCATCTATCAATAGTCAAACAACCAATAAAGGTTTTAATCAACATGATGCTAATAATATCTAACACTTAAATAGCCTAATACTTTATGCTATTAAAACCTATATTCAAACTTCTAATATAAATTTTAAAAAATACCTGTAATGGTTTTTATTCTTCAAATTTTCATATTTGGGAAATTAAATGGTAACCTTTTACAAGAATTCCAGCTAGTTTTATACATACTATACTAACATATTATCCAAAAGAACAACTTATCTAATTTTAAAGTATATTGAAAAATTTACACCTCACAATTTTCTCGATTTTTCACATAATGTTTTATTGTTGCTCCTTGTACAAAGTATTTTTGTGTATTATTAAATGTTATACATTGTGATATAGTCTTAGTGGTTTATATTATTTATTACATATTATTTTACATTCTCTTAACAAATAATTTAGATATATATCACAAACAAAAAACTACGATAAATAAATTTCATATAAAGATTACATTATATATTATATATATATATATATATATACTTCACTTCGACTTTGACTCATCAACCTTACACATATAACTGCAAAACTGAAACCTACGAAGACTCAAGACGACTGCAGCTTAATTACCATCCTGCTCAACGATTAATCGCAAACTATCGATATCCATAACTGCTTGGTTTGTCACAAGGGGCAGTCATTTAAAACCGTATATTCATATAGTTGCTTACATGCCGATGTTTCATAGTTGCTCATTCTTGTCATCAGTGGCATATAAACCATGTATTCATGATTGTCTATACTGACTACAAGAGGAAGAGCTTCAATCTAGGGGCCAAAGTATCACTCAGCTACGGTGGCCAACCACGCGAAGAATGAAAAAAAAAATGGTCTTATCAGAGCCATAAATACGTGATCGACCCGGCAAACCTACTTAGATGTTCGTCTCCGGGACTTCGCACTTCACCAATGCCGTGCGGGCATAAGGAGAACGACGGTTTTATCCCAGTATTATAAAGCAAAACACGAGTATTTCCCGAATATTTTAAACAATAGGTTAGGCTCTCAGAACTATCCACCGCACCAATTACCTGCTGAGGCATCTGCTTAATCCTTTTATTCCTCTACTGTGTATTTAATTTAAAAAAATCACAATAATAGAAAACACAATACTGCAAACCTCAATTTTTTTGTTATTAGAAACGCTGATATGATAAAAGGCACATTCATGCTCGAATGTTAAACATTAATTAATACCGTAGAAACAACCAGAAAATGGTTTTACATCTGTATAATTTTAATGTTCAGCACATACACACATAATAACCTTTCCAGTGACTAATATTATTACAATCTCCTAATTACTTTCTACGCAATAAATTGAAACGTAAACTTCAGCTACCCACATTGATTACGTCGTCACAACTTGTTAATGTTTGTGCGTTGTACATGCTGTGGCCTGTGACACTACACCTAAATTTCGTCGGATTGGTCTATGCATCGATGAATCATTATTATTATTTTAATCTGTTTGTTTTACATTTTAATTAATCCAATCATTATTCGTGGAATATTTAAGAACCATATTATTTTTTACCAAACTATGATGAAAGCTAAAATTGCATACAATTTAAAAACACTTGTGTTTATGCATGTTATAAGTTTAATAAATCATTTGTTTCGAATAAGGATATAAACAAGTGAATACACTTAGATTATGAAAAAAAAAAAGAAAATGCTTAGATAAAGTTATAAACACTAAATAATTAAACAATGTATAATTAATATGTACAAACTTGTCCATGTTATATTGAACATATTTAACTTGTTTTCAATCTTAAGATTGTTTAAAATATTTATATATGTATTATTCAGTATAGCTATTTAAAAATTAAATAGCCAAATCCTTTTTAGATATTGATAAATTTATATTTAATTTGTATAAGAGAATATAAATTCTTATTATTTATTTTTTCTGGGAACTTTTTCATTTGGTGCAATAACTCAATATTTTTAATAATACTTCAAGTTTTTATAAGTAAAATATAGTTAATATAACCTAATATTACCTCAATGAATTTATTATTCGATGTCGTCATTGATAATTCTTATTATTCTAAATAATACGAATTAAATAAAAAATAATCACATTAATATATTTAAATGTGCATATTAATATTTTCCCAAATCTGCTATTGTTTCTGTAATCGAGAATGTCCAAAACCTTAGTATCTAATATTATAAAGCTTATATTTCTATGGATAGCTGAAAAGAATATTTTTTCATAGCACATATGAAAATTAAAAAAAAATTAATGAAATATATATAAAATTGTTGTTGAATATTCAAGTATAATATGATATATTATAATAACAATTGGCAATTATATATCATAAAATTATAATCAATGTTTACATTAAAATCAAATAAGCACATTTTTAAATACATATATTTTGTAAATATTACAAATAACTGTTTCTGAATACTGCACTGCATATTTTATATTATTAGATTGATATGAAAATATCTATTGTATATAACGTTTTACAGAGCGATTGATTAAAGTAAAAGCAACATAACAGAACTATAAACTCAAAAATATATTTTATCTCGTTAAGGTTTCATTAAGTTAATTTCATTATCTCTAGTTTATATCTAACATTGTTACTACCACTTCAACAATGTTTTCTAGTTGGTATACTCGTCAAAATTAATTTAATTGACTATTTTAGTGTCGAGTAAACCGAATAATCACAAATTATGTCATGTAAAGCGTTCAGAGATATATTTTTGAATGAATATCACGCATTGTGTTTGAGAGGAAGAAATTAGAGTAACTTGGCATTCACCACCCGGAAAATCGGCTTGTGAAAATTTTGTCTGTAATTGAAACGCCTGTCCTAAACCGTTGACACATGTTACTGTGTAATTAAGACCTCCGGGAAACTTACCACTTATAATAATTGAATAATTTTACAGTTAATATTTTTGTAAGAAGATGAGTAACAAAATAACATGAATGTTAGTCGGTAATAACAGAGAATTTGTAGCTTTTCTTAGCTATTTTAAATTTTATACAAGTGTTCGTTGATACTTTTCTCTACTCTAAATATATACCATTGTGTCACAAATAATATTTATTTATCCTAATGATTAATTTTAAACCAATAAAAAGGGATATTAATCAAGTGGAAGTTATATATTTAAAAATTAAACTAGAATTTATTGTAGGAGACAATTAGTAAAATGTATTTATTTTTTTTTTATTTTTAATCTGGAATTTGTACAATCTATACATAAAAAAATAATTACAATAAGCATAACGGATATTTTTCTTAATTTAAATAAATGCTCAGTGACTTGAGTAATTTGTGGAAGAACTAACCTGTAAAAGCACTTTGATAACATTTTATTTGATCGAAAATTAGGATGTGTTTTATAATAAATAAAATCAATTTCAATTTTCGAGAATCTTAGTAATAAAATAATAATATTAAAAAAAAAAAAAAAAAAAAAACAATAGTATTAAAAGATAAATTAAACTAAAAACTTATCTATTTGATTATTTAATATATATAAAAAAAAAAAAAAAAAAAATATTATAACAAGAAAATATGGCATAATATAAATAATTCTAAAATAAAATAAACTTTACACAAGGTATATTATTTTCTGTAGACTATTATAATGGTACTTATATAAGGTCTAATTGAAAAATTATTTATTTTTTTTTAATTGCATTTATCATTTCATCCAAAAATAATGAATTATTTTATATTGAAGAACGAGATTTAACAAAAATATTTTTAAACTCACTATTGGTATAGATATCTCACGAATATTAAATTTGCTAATTGAATGCGACAGGTTAAAATAGGTTTCATTACACTATATTTTTTAGTTAGTTAATATTTTTTTGATAGGTAACTGATATTACATTAGTATTATACATTTTTGTTTCAAACTGTATAAAAATAAGTTTCAATGATAAGTAAAGTTTTTTTTTTTTATATATTAATAATAATACATAGTATAATTTATATTACAATAGCCTTTCCTTACCGTCATTTTCCATAGTTTCTGATTCTATCATATTTTCTTCAAATGAAATATTTTCCTCTTTCATTTCATCATATAAGTATTCAAAATCTAAATAGATAAACTCAGAACGTTTTTTGTGTTTATTATAAAATGCTACTCTACTCAGAAAATTTGTAATGTTCTGTGAGAAGTTACAATTTTGAACAGACATATATGCAATATTCCAATTTGTTTTCAACGATGTGTGTAACGCAATAGCAACTTCCAATGTTAATGGATTATTATCTATTTCTAAAGCACGTAATCCACGATCATATGCTAATGATTGAGCAATGTTTAAACCTCCAATTTCTGTTATATTACAATTACGAACTCGAAGTTTAGTAAAAGGTTCAACTCCTGATGCTAAGGCAGATGCTAAATATTTGGCACCAATGTCTTTTATATTGTTCATATCTAAAGAAATGTATTATATTTCATGCATATTAATATTCCTTATGATAGATTATAATATTAGGTAATTCGTTTTGCGTTAGTTTTTTGTTATTTTATTTATATGTTAAGCAACACAATTATTATACTTTTTTAGATATTAATAAATAACGCATTATAAAAGTATCATAATATATAAATATAAAATTTCAAATTTTTTCTTTTTATATAAAATAAAAAGAATATTTTTTAAAAAAGAATAAAATTAAAATAATTTAATATTTCTTTTTAAATACGTACTTAAATTTAATTCAATCGCCGGGTAGTTGTGATTTCGCCTCCATAACATTACAAATGATAATGATTCAACTCCATCTGGACCGATATGGTTACCGCATAAGTTCACCAGCTTTAACATTTTTGCAGTTTTTACAAAATTTGCTACTGATTTTCCACCAAGAGAACACAATTTACAAAACGAAAAGTTTATTTCTTCGAGACGATGGCACTCCATCATATATGGTAATAGCCTGTTAAATTTTTCCATATTGAATGCACTCTTAGTAATTGTCAGACTACTCAAGTGTTCCGATATTACTAAACCATGACCAAGCGTGTCCATGTCATTAATATTGAACCTGTACTGTTTAGATGTGTACATTGGTGGCTTAGTTGTTAAAATCCTGGAACCATAAACTAGGCTTAAAGTCTGTACGTTTTTTAAAATACCCAATACAAAACTCAAATCAATGTGAATTGGGTCCTTTGAATCATCGGTTGTTAATGTGTCCATCATCGAACTCTTAATACGAAGCTGTTGGCAATCTATCGAAGTTATATATGGGCTGCAGACCATCAATATTTCGGTAAGCTCCGTTTCATCAACGTAACCCGGTTCTAAGTTTTCAATAATATCTGATACATATTTGGTTAAATATATAATTTTCAAAGAATCTGTAACTGCAATGTTTTGTGTTGTTTTAATGGAGTCCGGCCATGTATGGTCGTGTCGTCGTCGCCAATACTCATTGCCCGGGACGTGGATGACTAAAGAAATCGGTAAACTAGTGCTCAGTATTTCAACGAGGTACTCAATGTCCATGTGAGTAATGCACTCAAATAAATGTTTGGGGTAAAGTTCAAAATGGTTGGCTATATTATCTAAGCAAAGTAATTTTAACGGTTTGGGCGTACAATCCGCCCAGCTAAAGTCCATAGAGTTAATAACGTGTTCAATCTCGTTCGATCGCAACCCACGGGGGACGATTTTATCTGATGGAATGAATTGGTGGAAAGTTGTTTTTGGTATTGAATGTGGAATCCACATGTTGGAACTGGTTATATTAAAATTAAAATACACGAAGACAACTGTTAGTTATTTAAAAGATAATAATGTTCTGGAGCAAAAAAAAAAAAATAAAAATATAAGTAAATTAGTAATAAACAAGATTGTCTCAGTTACCCAAGTTTTGGTTCTTATTTATGTTACCGTGGTTATAATAAGAAGTTTGTGTTAACTTAAAGAATATTAAAAAAAAAAAAAAAAAAATCCTAAATAACTAATAATTATTAGTTATTGTTTTTGAATTCTTTGATCGAATAAAAATAACGTAGTTAATCAAATAAGACATTATATCGTTATAGTCAGTCATTACTAAGAAAATTAATAAACCACTAATATTTTTAAGATATAAAAAAATGCTCATGGCAGAAGTATAATAATAATCAATACAATTATTAGCTCCAAATAATGTAATATTATATCATAATATATTATCTCAGTTAAGCTATGAATTATGAATGTCGTCGATTTTATAATAAAATGTAGCTATATGACTAAACTCATTGAATGATGTTTCAATCTGTTCGCATAGTATAGTTTATATAAGGGTTTTTATTATGATGACGTCGCGAAAGGCACTATTAACTCTGGTTTCAAAAGTGTGATCACGATCCGGGGGTATTATTCGAAGACGATAAGTGCAAAAAACGTGATTTGTGTGCCCGTTATGCGCGTGCAAGAAAAGTATATAAGTAATATAAGTGATTCGGACGAAATAAATAATTATCATCGTCGTCGACGACGTGGATATTATACTGAAATGTTTGCGAACGCGATTCCGTTCGGTAACACATGGCCATCCAATAATGTTCATCGAATTATAATAAAATTTAATATGTATTACGTGACTCGGATAAAAACTGAATGGGACCGGAAGTGGACGAACGTGGATGAAAAATTTGAGAATGACACCATGCATTAGCGCGTTTTTAACCATGTACCCGTGTATGCGGACAGTATATCCTATTCAATACCCACACCGTAATGGTAACTGTATAAATTTTCCCAGCTATCATTTCCATCGGTCTTCTCTATTTCGATCTAGAAACAGTCCTTTTTCAGTTGACACCGCCCAGAAAACGCATCCGCATACACGTTGCGCGGGTTCATCCGGTCCAATAACTAATGGACAAACGACTTTTCGTGTCAGCTTTCCTGCACGAGCGGACGCGCCCCTAGACAGATTTACTGGGCCGTTACTTTGGAGACAAACAAAATCGTCACCGAGTGGCCTGGTAGACGAGGAGGAAGCGCGTCCGCAGATGGAATTTAAATGGAACTGGAACGACTGAATACGGTCAAAATCAGATGAGGGAAGTGAAATAGAATAGATTGAGAGAGAAAGTGTGAGAGAGATGAAGAGGTAAGAAGGGCGTTTTGAGAGGGTAGGATGATACGAAGAGGATTTGACAATGAGAGTACAGACTTAATGCGGTCGATAAGTAAATGGAAAAAAAAGAATTTTTTATCAATTTATATCGAGTATTGAATTGTGCGTAAGTGTGTTCATTGTACGATTTTATTGTTATTTTTTTTTTTTGTTTTTGTCACCAAATAGGATCACTTTGCAGACTCTAAAAGCAGCTTACTTTGAATCTGTTGCGCGTCCCTTGATAGCAATCATCACTAGTGAACAAGTAATAATCGTTTTCACTAAACGGATATAATACTAGGTACACTCATTTTCAAATGGAACAATCAGTATTTATAATGTTCATGAGAGATAATTGCGTATATTTTCTTTTTATGTATATTTAAGTCAACATTTCATATCTTTAAGATTGTTGATAAGTATTACAGTGACGTATAATTATTATTATTATTTTTTTTTTTTTTTTAGATCAAAATTACACAATATTATCACTGATGGATAGGAAACCATGAATTAATTTAGATGTATAAAATACTTAAATATTCCAATGATGAATAAAAGATTTTTTACAATTTTTTGTACCTGATTTTAATTTCTATTTTTTCCATCAAAGATTTAATTTATTTTATGATTGGCTATTTAACATGTTAATAAACTTAAAAATATTTATTTTCATCCTGTAGACGATTCATAAATTAATAATTAATAACAACTATAAGCAAGGTATTTTAAAAATGTTAAAATTATAATAACTGTGTACACTATAAATTAAATTCCTAATTTTATTTAGAATAGGTAAGGTTAATTATCATAAAAATTCAAAAAGACGAGAATATTAAATATTAAATAATTTAATACAGAAAAAAAAAAAGAAAATGGTTAAAATAATTTAAAAATTTAAAATTAGTATTTCATAAAAATAATAAACCAATGTATGATGTTAAAACTCTTTACATTGATATTATTGTAATATTTTTTAATATTTCTTAAACTAACTTTGGTAATATTAAAAATACATGTGATTAATTTATTTATATAAATACAAAACTTGGAATATAAAAATTCGGTGGTAATTGATTATTATTAAATTATATCGTTGCTTCGTTGTTTATATAATTTATATGATATTAAAAATAATAAAATTTAATTAATTTAATAGGTTATAGACAGACTTGTCACAGATCTGAACTACTTAGTGAACATTTATAGAGTTATAAATTCGTAATAATAACAATCACAAAAAAATATCCTTCAATACACACTGATATCGTAAAAACGGAGACGTAAACTATTTTATTAAAAATTGCATGACTGGCATTTATATCGTTTGTTATTTGAAATAACAGATTCAATAAAATCAACCTTCATGATTAAAATAAAACAGATAACAAGTATATTTTTATTGTAAAATATGAATGCATTATAAATATTTATTTTCAATTTGTATTAAACTTAAGTTATGAATAAATTATCATAGTTTACTATGTACAATATACGCGTATTCATATATTATATGACATTTTTTTTTCTAATTTCCTTCACTGATTTCTTGGATAATTGTTGTTGAAGCTGAGTATTGAATAATAGTTATTAAAACGTATATATATATATATAAAATTCGAAAATCTTAATTATACCAATCGTTAAAAACAATATCAGCATACTAAACAAATTAAATTTTATTTTTCCTGTTATCTTGTGAGTACAATAATAATTTTATTATGACTTGATACATATCAAGCAGCTTAACCTCAACAAACATAGCCAATAGCAATATAATGATTACATTTTATGAAAGTTGAAATATAATAAATATTTAAAACTTGTTTATTTACACTTAGTATAAAATGTATATCAATTAATAATAATATTTTTAAATATCAATAAGATTATACTCATAATATATTATATGACTATAGTTAAATTGTATTAAGGGATTAGGAGTATTTTTTTCTGCGAAAGGTTATCTATCGTTTTTAATGGAATATTATTTCTTGTTGGGTAATTGTGTATAAGTGTCAAATTTTCTTTGGGAGTAACTCATTACCATATATATTGTATTCAATGTGTTTTCAATTTTGAATCAATGTAGGTGAATTTAAAATCATATTATTAATAAAATTATCAATTTAATAACTTAAGTGTATAATAAAAATATACTTAATTTATACCATCATGTAAATATGTATTATTATTCCTAATTATTCAATTAATATGCTACAACATTATAGTGTATTATTAATGTATATTATCTAACAATATCTGATATTATATAATAGTCGTATTAGTTCATCAAAATACTCCAGAACATAGCTTTGTTTAAGCCGTTTAAGAAAAAAATGTAAGATAAGAAAGCGGCATCGAAATGTAGAATTATTTGTTGAAAACTGAGTTAATATCCGTCTAAATACACATACTGTTTGAGCACACGTATAATTACGAAAAATTAATTTTATCTAATTATCATATTAAAGTTATATCAGTATATTAACCACAACAGTACTTATGTCGTTATGTTTAAAGATAATTCATTCTAACAGAATTTTTAGAAATCTAATAGGTAAATTATAACTGAAACATAGTTTTAAATTTCTAAAAGAATAGTTTAAAATATAATGAAAATAAATAACAATCATAATTATTAAATAATATTTTTTTTTAAATTATTTTTAATATGTAATATTGATTATTAAATTATTATCAAAATATAAAAATTAAATATATATATATGTATTAGAGTTTAATAAGTGTGTTAAAATTGGTTTACTTTAATTCAACAATTATTTGGAAGAGTTTTCTAATCAAAAGTTTTAAATTAAAACAACATAAAATACTCATTAATTTTCAAAAAATGTATAAAGTGCAGTTTAACAAATATTTCAAATATAGCATATTTTACATATCATTTTTAAAATATGTTTCAAAAAAAGTGTAATAATGTAATATATTTAATCTTAATTAAGATAATGTATAAAATTAAACTCAAAATGAAATGAGGTTGTACCTACAATACTTACTAGTAACATAAGTAAACATAGTATCATTCGTTGTATTTTGTTTATATAATTGTTTTTGTTGCACGGTAATATAATTTTAGACATTATAAATAACATAAAGAAGAGAAGAATAATAACACTAAAAGAAAAATCTGTAATAAAAAGGATACTATGTCGTATAAATACTTATACTTTATGTATTCGAATGTTTACGATCCGTGTGACAACGGTATAAAATCATCATAAAAGTCTAATATACGTTATTAAACAAAAAAAAAAAAAAATAAATATGTATTTTATTTTTGTCCTATTTTATACTTAATTAAAATTTTTGAATATTTTATTTAAAAACAGAAGATAGAATCAGAATATGCATTATAACGGTTATATTTTCTCGGTATTAAACAACATCTGCCCTTTTATTGTTTATCTGTATCAATTAGTTTATTTTTAAAAGTTTATTTTGTATTTCAAAAGACGTAATAACAATTTCTGAAAATATAAAATAACAATAAACATTTACAGGTTTAATATTGTAAATGATTGTTTCGGTAGTCAAAATTGTTATTTTTATTTAGTCATTTAAATTAATTTTTAATTGATTTTTAATTTTTGATAAAATACAATTTCTGTACATTATCAGTATTTTAATAATTTATTGATTAATTTTAATATTTAATTTTGATTTTTAGTGTTATCCATTAAAGTAATATTACAGAAAAAAATAGATTTATACGACAAAATTAATTATCTAACCATATATCTTCTTAACATTTATTTTTTTTGTCTACTTTAAAAGTTTATGAGTTCATACTTTGGCTATAATACATATTAAGTTAATACAATTTAAAAATTAATTATTAAAATTTTAAATGTAAATAGAAAATGTCACATTATTTAATTTTTTTTAAGTACTAAAACTTAACAGAATAACAGAATTATAAGGAAAAAAAATATATATTCATATATTTAACTTATTATTTGCCAAATAATTAAACAAAAAAAAAAAAAAAAATGTAAGACATGTCTTGATTACATAAACAACATTTATAGTAGCTCATTAGTAAATATATTATTAAGATGATTAATAAAATAATTACGTTTGTTTTAAATTTAATTTGATTTCATTTAATCTCATGTATAAATTAGACAATGGTATCAAATTTATTTAAAAAAAAAGGATATTTTTTTCTAATAAGTAGCTTTAAAGAGCATTTAGAAGAATCCTACTGACAATTTTGCAATGTTTTTAAAATAAAATGTAATAGAACAATTAAACTATTACACTTAATACACATAAAATAAACACATGATTTACATTTATTTTTATTTAAATATATCAAAAAAAAAAAAAAAAAACTAGAACTAAAAATTATAAAATATGTTAACCATTTAAGACACCATTACTAAAGTTTAAATGTATAAACAGAACCTATAATAACTGATTTTACCTTAAAAGAAAACCTGAGTGTTTTTACCATAATATAATTTTAGGTTCTTACATCTTTCTCTCTCTCTCTCTACAATATTCAATATAATGATTGGTTTACAACAATTACTATACTTCTCTGTATCGTTACATAATTGTTTATTAATTCAACAACTTTAAATACGAAATACTTTTTTATGTAGAAAGGACTTTTTATAAACAATGTGTGTATATACAATTTTATATGGTATATATAAATATAATACAATTAAGTTCCAAACAATTAATTTGTATAAACAATAAATATTTAAAATAAAATATATTTTAAGTACATATTAACTTAAACAAAAAGTAATTACACTACATTACATCTGAGGATTAAGTTTCAAAATCGCAACAATTGTTTTATAAAATAAATGTTTTAGAACCTCCCCAAGGAATACTTATAATATAAAATTTCCCATCTGTAAATCGCAAATAGTAAAAACTTTTAGTCTGTATTGTCGAAAAAAAAACATACACACAAACAAAAATACATAAATAAATAATATCTCACGGGAAGAATAATTTACGTATAAATGTGGTTTGATATTGATTTTGTAAAAATTATGTTTTTATTTTGGTTGGAAGAGTAAAATATTCAAAAAGGTTGATAAACCACTGGCAAGATTAAAATATAATTTGATGTATTATAAAATAGAATTTAAATTCGACAATTATTATTATTATTGGTATATACATTTTGTATATTATATTAAATTTGTATATATATATATATCTGTACAATATTAATTATACTCTGATATTAATTAAGTTGTTTTTTTTTTTTTTTTTAGTAATTAAATATTTGCTTGATGTTATAACATAAAATACGTTGTTATATAATAGCAATTATAATTATGTAAGAGATGTATTTTAATATACAAACAATTTCAATTGAACGAAAATATTTTGTCACAAATTGTTTTATGTACCTATAATAACTGTTTGTTAACTATTTTGACTTAAATAAATTTGTCTTAGGACCAGCAGTGTTGACACACAACGTATAAGAATGGTGGTGACATATGGTTGCCAATCCCATGGACATCATCAAAAGTTTATTGCATTATTGATACTGTGCTTTTTGGATTGCGGTCAAGGTGATGGTAAAGGTAAGTTTGTTTTTTTTTAACCTCCTACTATAGTTTTATTTGCAAATCGTGTGTTCTGAAACTGTTTTTCTTATACTCTAACCACCCAATTTCACCATCATCACTAAATTGGTCTGATTTAATAGCACCATGTTTCATATACGCAATACCTACGTCATATTGTTCCAAATTGCCAAAGTTTCACAATCAAGAAAGTCCTTAATATCCTTACCCATCCTTCTAATTATAATGGGAGCTCTAATGGCACCAGTGTTGATACGGATAACCTAAATTTTACATTGTAATAATATGATATCATAGCGTATACGATTATTTTTATTCTAATTATGTATAATCAAATTTCTAAGTTAACATATCAAAAAAAAAAAAAAAAAATTAAATATTTTAGATTACAAAAAATTTTTTATTTAAAAAAATCAAATCTAGCTATTATAATATTAGCATCATTAGCATTATGCTATAAACTGACGTTTTTTTTTAACGGACCTAAATAAAATCTACATTTAGCGACTATTCTATAAATGTTAATAGTATTATTCAAAATTGGCGATGTTCATAGATCATACAATATAATATTTGAATATATATTTATAATCGTGAACGTTTTGGACAACATAGCTCTTTAATGAAATACGCGGAAATTGTGAATTTTACAAACACAAACGTATACCAACAATGGTGTATTATATGCATTGATAAAATGTTTAGGAAAACAAAATAACAATATAGTATATTATGACAATAAATATTTTAACAACGAAACACGAGTACAATACTAATCAATGAATATACACCCAATATGCATAATAACTTTTTTATTTATATACATATTTTATTCACATGGTGTTTTCTTCATGCAATGTTTTATTGTCTTTATTTAATCCTAATACAAATCTAATATGTAAATTTATATATATAATAACGGGAATACTTATCCACCTAAATATTATAATACACATATCCTTTTCATTCTAAAAAAGGTTACGATATAGATTATGTTTTTCATTTGAATACCTTACTGATAATAATTAATTTAAAAATAAAATCTAACAAGAAATAACATTTAAAATTTGTTTGTAAAATATACCACCACCGTTATGTAATAACATACAATAAATATATAAAATAACAAAATAATTAGCAATCATTTTTATTATGTTCATCTTTTGAACATTAAAATATATCTTAGAATATGGTTTAATAATAACAGTTTTAAGTTAAACATTTAATTTATATATATAGGTACATATATTATTATAGTATCAAAAAAACTAAAAGATGCTGATATTCTTATCTTTAGTTATAGGAAATAATTATCGTAAGCTTGGGTTACGTAAATATACAATTTATTGTGTTTTTGGATTGATTGTTTTATTTTATATTTTAAGATTAAGACAAATCATTGTATGATAAAATTTACATTCATAAAATTTATATTTTATTTTTAAAAACTATCATGACATTAAATTCAAAAAAATATAAAAATTCATTATTTTTGATACAATTTTGTACAATTGTTACAATCTAACTACAATAATCATAAAAAATCAATTATGTGTGTCTTATTTTAAAATGTATTTCACTTGATAGATATTAGCTTTAATTTCTTAATTATAGTTTGGATTTTTTTTTAAATATTTATTGATAATAATTATAATATACGAAAACAAAAATTCACTTATAATTATTATTTTTTTAATAATATGGATATTTTAAATATTAAACTAAATTTATTGTCAGTTATATAATCATTATAAATAAATACCAATATTCTATATTAGATATTTTTTATAATTTATAATTTAATTATTTCTAATAAATAAATTATGAGATTTTTAAATATAAAAAGAGTATTTTACTCAATTTTTCGAAAATGTACAGATTAAATGAATATACTCGTCTATTTTTATTATTATTATTATTATTTTTTTTTTTAATTGTTGAGTTTTATTAGACTATACGTATATCTATAAATGATATGTCATACTAATCCAATTTGTTAGAAAATAAATTGTAGAAAAATCTGAAATAAATATAAGACAAAATGTATGGAGTGTAGATTACAAAACTTATCATAATAATCGTATAAGTAAATAATTATATATACAATTATGTACTCGAAAATTATTTAAAATCGTCTTGGAAATTAATGTTATATTTTAAATTATCCTTGGAGAATTCTGAAATAGTTCCGACAATAAATACTTAAATTGTGAATTAATAATACAAATAAACGATTAAAAAAAAAAATAAAACAAAAAACAGTTCTATCAAAATTATTGAATTTGAGCGTATAAAAAGTGAGTTTTTTCACAATTTTAAAAATAAACAAAACTATAGTAAAACTCAATAAAATTTTAAGTATGAACTATATTTTTCCAAGGAAAAAAAGAAAACTACACTATTAGAAGTGGAAAACAGTTTAGCAGTAACATCGTGTTTGCGCATCAACCTTGATCTTGTGCCTCATATAACTAACAGTTAGCGTCCATTCGTTAAAACCCCATGTATACCGAGTAGCTGCTTGGAGTACGGTGGTCAGAGTGTGAGAGGGATGGGAACAAGTTTTGATTTCCCACAGGTATAATAGTTGTGAAAGAGGTCGGATATGGTAGGTTGGAGGGCGAAAGCAGTGTACGGCGGCGTGTTGTTGGTAGGAAATAAAGGGGAAACTATTTTTACCAACAACCGTTATAATAATAATATAACAGTACTGAGGAGAGCGATTAGTGTGAGGAAATCGTAAAAGTGTATAGCGAATCGTTAGGAAACGGTTAAAGCGGAGGGGCGGAGGTTTTTTCTCAACGATGGCAGCCGCTATGAATCTATCCTATTGCGGAATCGGTGCGTTGGTTGAAAATATAAATAAATATAGTAAAGCGAGCACAGCACAGGGCGTGAGGTGTGACGATGACGGTCGAACTGCGGTGCGGTAAACGAGAAGCTTTTTGTATGGGCCGCGTGAGCGCTACTATTATACGTCATACACAATACTTTTGACAATGATGGAAGAGGTGCACTCGAACATAAATGTTTAACGTTCGCTGTTGTTACTGTTGTTGCAGATCGGAATAATTTACAAATATTTGTCCATCAAATCCGCTTTTATAGTCAACTTTTTGCTAAGTTCGGCACCACAATCAGCACCGCCAAATATTGTCCATAGTACGCTTTTCATTTTAAGTATAATGCGTCCCCGGGTTTTCACTGTTGAAATAAAAATCATGATTATTGAACTGTTATTGTTGTCCTGAAAACCTCCAGCCCGTGCGTTTAAACCACACAGTATTCGATCGAAATCATATACTGCCTCTAACAGGTACTACACATCGAGTACTGTATGGGAAATCATAAATAATGCCCATGGATCCATAATATAATTTTACATATTTATTTTATATCAGAGTAAACGATTAACGTACGAATTAAAAATCATTTTGATATGAACACTTATTTTTAAACAATAAATGATTAAAAAAAGATTTATACATCAATTATTAAAGTGACTCAATAATTATTGTTAATCAGAAAGTTATTAACCGAGTTATTTAATTTACCTGTAATAAATTTTGAAATATATTTTTGAGTAAGTAATTGAGTAGATTGAAAACAATGAATACTACTCAAGTTAATTATTAAAAGGTTATATATACAATATTATATAATATAATATAATATTTTATATTATATATGTACAATATCTGTACACGTCATATGATGATTTTATATTATTCTACAATATAACATAGTACACGCAATTTGATTAAAACAAAAAAATAAATAAATAAAAAAATAACAATACAATTTATATCGATAATTTTTAATTTTATTTATTATATTATAAAATTTAAAAACATTGTTGGCCATTATATTATATTATATATTTGTACAATAATAATTACTAAATAATTTTAACATATTACCCTTTAATTCATTTGATATTAATAAAATATCTATATTCTAAAAATGAAACCCATACTGATATAATAGTGAATTCTTCCGTGGTGAATTATACTTCGATGTATCTATATTAAATACTCAATATTATTATAGCATAAAACTTTCATTATATAAAATATAACTAATATTATAATGTTCGATTTTTTTATTGTTTATTAAAGTTTTATGAAAAATCTAAAAAAACTACATAAGTGTATATTTATAGTCAATACTTTGGAGTATATATCTTAAAATATTGTTCATAAATGTTTATTTTGACAAAAATGGTGTTATAAAATAAAACATTTATGTTTTAATGTTATTAAATACTTTTTAAATTTTAATTAAATACTTCAAATATTCAAGTGTTTATACAATATAAAATTACATTTTATGACATATCATAGAATCAATTGCTTCTAGACTAATTAATTGAATATATTCTCAATAATTTTATTATAAAAGTTTTTTTGTTTTATTTAGTTTGATGTTCTAGTAAAATACTTTCATAGTTGACTTATCTAATGTCATATTGGTTTATCAGTGAATGAGTCATCGATCGTATGATCGGTCAATTTATTATTCTGTTTCAGAAAGCACTGGTTCTTCCGGTGCACATGTCATATTATATGAGATAAATTCATCTGGTTCCGGTTCCGGAAATATAAATATCGGTTGATTCACGCGAAGAGTTTAGTATGAAATCTTTAACATCCATAGCTGTTGTAAACGGATCTGTACCTCTGTACTAGATAGCTGTTAAAGCATTTATTATAGTGAAAAATCGTTCTTAAAAACGAGTAAACCGTACCTACACCATATCACAATAACACGTGTCATTTTAAATTGTTATAAAATATTAGCGAACAGTTAAAAAGTGCTACAAGAACATAATACGCAACTGACACTATTAATTCTAGTTCAATACATTTTTGATATAGATTAGTATTAAAAACTTTACAAGGTATTTTCAGTCTTCACCATAGTTTGTACTTAATTTTTGATTATTTACATATGTTACCGATACTGTTTTATCTTAAACTATTAGGGCATGTGTTAAT